CTATTGGCCCACGTGACGGACACATGGCAGAACCTGATTGGTCCACTTGTCAGACGGTGATTGGTAGGGAAAAATCCCCTAATCATTATCTATCAATCTATGTGTCGGTATTTAATAATCTAATCAACTAGCTCCGTCTATCTAAACTCTAAACTAGTCATATATGCACGCTATGTGGGCTTTGATGTATGAAGTTCAAAAACTTTTATAAGGTCTAATTAACTATAGTGTTTTGATTTTTGCTAATTTTTTTATTTATTATTTTTTTTACTTCATTTATTTTAATACTTATTTTCATCTTTTGATTGAAACTATGAATAAAAGGTAACAAAATACTGTTTAAATCGTTTTGAAGTTCATTATTATGAATGATCAAAAGGACTTGATAATTGTTGTACATCAAATTAACAAATGTTTATATAATTGAACAAAGTAACTTAGTAATTATTTATGATTGTTGACTTTTAAGATTGATTGTTATATTGCAATGTCTTGTTTTATGTATTTTGGAGGAAAATTTTCCTTTTTATTAAGATTGATTAAATATATTTTTTGAAGAATTATTTACTTGTAAATGCTCTTTTATTTTGTTCCAAAAATAAAAAAGCTCTTTTATTTTGGCTTAGTTCCAATTGGAAAGCAATCTCAATATACAATTGAATACCTAGTCATAATAAACATTTTAGCAAAAAATGTAACTCGTGTATTGCACAGGATAGTATTAGTTATATTTATATGATGTAGCTTGGTGGTAGAGAATGCAAGAACTCGTGATTACCTCCACGTAATCCTGATTGCTTTTAAAGTATGAAACAGAGGTAATATTATTGAACATTTTTGGATACTTTAGTAGAAAAGACGATTTTTTTTTTAAGTACTAATCCTAGTTGTGTTTATAAAATACAACTATTCATTTGCCTTTTTTTTTTAGTTGCACCATTTGTGATATCACACTTAACAAATGCATTACCTTGGTCATTAGTATCTTTAATTATACTTCATTAAATTTTTTTCTCACCTATAAATCACAAAAGAATAAAAGATGGTCAAAAGGGATGGTGTGAATCCCTACCTTATAAAAAGTACAAGATTACTCTTATGAATAGTGTGCTGCCAATAATACCCTTTAAAATGTGTATTTACATGTTTCTCTATCCCTATATTTATCCCTACCTTATAAAAAGTAACATTATTCTTATGAATAGTGTGTTGCCAATTATACCATTTAAAATGTATATTTACATCTTTATCCTTATTGATGTGTACATTTTTTTTCTTTATTAACGTAAATTGCCTTTTTTTTAATAATTAAATCACTTTTATGAATAGTGTGCTATCAATTATACTCTTTAAAATGTGTAATTACATCTTGACCCTTATTAATATGTATAACTTCTTTTTTTTCTTCATTAATGTTAATTGCCTTTATTTATATATATATATATATATATATATATATATATATATATATATATATATATATATATATATATATAGGGGTTTGCACACTATTTTAAATATATATATATATTATATATATATTATATATAATATATATATATATTTAAAATAGTGTACAAACCCCTAAAAATATTTATTAACATATTTTCCCTGATTACTGGAACCAACTACTGAAAAAGCTCGTCATACATAGCTTGCTATAGTATGCATCACGCGCGTTAGCCATCCTAGTTAACATTAAAATCCAAGTAGTTCAATCATAAAAATACAGCATAATTTTCAATCATAAATTGCAAACAAGTCCTCTTTGTGATTACCTCTACTCAAGGAAACCCCCAAGGCCCTAATATATAATCCAAACAATCCCTTGACACCACAATAATATCAACCTTGACCACCTCCCAATTCCCAAACTTTCGCAATTTCTAGTATTCCTAGTGTTGTATTTTTACTTTACACAATCTCCCATTTCTCTTCCTTTTTCATTCTCTCTCCTCCTTCGTACGCACCTCGTCCACCACCCAACCCTTCATTTTCTCTCTCCTCCTTCCTACACCGTCAAAGGCGGAAATCCGAATCCTCTCGAAGATGTTGAGGGTGGCGGCAAGGCGCCTCTCTTCTCTCTCCTCTTCTTCATGGCGTCCCGCCGCCTCATCCTCTGTCGTCTCCAAATCCCCTCTTTCTCGCGACGACCAGGAGTCCAGATCTACCCCCTTGTTCTTACCCCATTATTATACTCACCTTCGAGGTTAGGGTTCTCTTCTGATTCAAAGATATCAAAGAATTTTTTGATTTGGTTGAGTTTTTGTTGTTTTGATTTTGAAATTAGGGTTTTGTTTGATTGTGGTTGTTTTGATTCTGTTGATGATGATTTTGTTGCTGGGATTAGAAAAAGATCTCGAAAAGTTGCGATTTTTGGTTGTTTTTAGATGGATTTGTTATGGGTATGCTTTGAATTTGTATATACTTGAACCCTTATTGCTTAATTATTCGGCGATTCGATGAATATGCGGATATGTGTTACTTTGTTTGTTGTGGTTGAAGTCTGAATCAATATAGGCTAGGTTTTAGGAAAGGTGAAATCATTTGGATTTGTGTAATTCGAAAATTAATAGGAGCCTGCCCTGCATCTGGGAGTTTAGATGCCGGTGATTGGGTGTATTGAACTTACCGTATTGAGTTTTTTTAATCGGGTATTTTAGGAAAAATGGAGAGTTGGAGATAGGGATGATTAACTTGAATTATTTGGGAGCGATGTTATTTTGTGTGGGCATACTATCTGTTGATTGCTGATATGATTGTGGTAGCATTGGGAAGATGAAAATTGGGATCGAAATCCGTGGTTTAATAAGCTTCATGGGTGGATAGTTTATAGGAGGAACTGTTGCTTTTAGCAGTTGGCAATTATAGGTTTTCAATGTGGAACAATTTTTTTCAGGGAATTTGTTCTTCCTGAATAATCGCTGGGATGTGCCTTTTAATTTTGCAACATTCATTTCAGCAGTTTATAAGTTGCAAACTTGCATGCTTGGTTCTATGCTAAACCTTGTTAAAACTACATATATCAGCTGCAATCTGTATCTGCACATCTATGCAGGGTCAAGAATTAGGGGGTATTTTGTGTGAAATGTCAAAACATATTTAAACATAGGCTAAGGTGTTTTTGAGGTCAGTCTTTAAATATATAGTCAACCACAAAGGCACAAATTAAAATATCTTAAAAGTAACAAGGAATCAAATTAAAGAGATATTCCAGGAGTTGCTTTTTCAAAATCTTGTAGGAAATTCAGTATTTACAGAAAATCATCATAGTTTCTCAGGTAAAGAAGAACTTTCATTTGAATCCTGTTGAACTACAGTTCTATTTTATTTTTTATTTTTTATTTTTTTGCCTCTTTTGATATCTATTTATTGGAAACAGAGGGTAGCCAAGCCATAAGACCGAGGAAGAAACAGTAAATCTTCCCAAATTGCACATAGATGATCCATTTGGGAGTTTGTTTTGTCTTAATAATATCAATTAATCACATTGCAATGCAATTGATGACAATAGGACTTATAGGAGAACTGAGGCTATTTTGAAGGAATATAAATTCTAGTTTCCCTTGAGCTTAGCTTGATAGCCTTGGGAGAGAGCCCTTTTTCCTTTCCTATTGTTCCTGGCTTTTATACTGATGTGATTCAACGTTTATTTTTTTTTTTTGCTTTGATGCTTGATGAATGTTGTCCATCTTTTTGGTTGGTATCTATTATTGGCGATTCTTTTATATTAGTATTAATTTTCTTATCTGGAAATGTACATGTTGTTAATGGTTCTATGTTAGTAATATTAGTACATGTATAAGTGTTTTTTTCGAGTAGTCGTCTTTGTGAATGATATATGAGTTTACCTTTGATTTTGAATCTAGAGCACCATGTCCGGCTGTATCTGGTTTTGCAATATGCTTCATGTTTTGTAATAGTGTACGCTGTTCTCTTGCATTTTCATTTGAAATTGTACAAATAGCATTTCATAATGTGTAATATTTTTTACTACTAGCTGATTCAAGGATTATTACATTATTCTGGGGCCAACTACTGGACTTTTATAGATGTGGCCATAGGATTTTGTGCTTAACTGCCAAATTTTTTTAGTGGTGAAACATTAATCTTTTGGACTTTGATGGTTGAATGCAGGATTTGCTACTGAGAATCTCGTCCCAAAAGCTGAACATGGCATTATCCCTGATGTTCCAGCTACTGTGGCTGCTATTAAGAATCCCTCGTCAAAAATCACCTATGATGAATACAACCATGAACGATATCCTCCTGGTGATCCCAGCAAGAGAGCATTTGCTTATTTTGTTCTCACTGGTGGAAGATTTGTCTATGCTTCACTTGTCCGCCTGCTTGTCCTTAAGTTTGTGCTGAGTATGTCTGCCAGTAAGGATGTCCTTGCTCTGGCATCACTTGAGGTTGATCTCTCAAGCATTGAGCCTGGCACTACTGTGACTGTGAAGTGGCGTGGAAAGCCTGTCTTCATCAGGCGTCGAACGGATGACGACGTCAAGCTGGCTAACAGTGTTGATCTTGGTTCCCTTCGTGACCCACAGAAGGATGAAGAAAGAGTTAAGAACCCTGAATGGCTTGTTGTGATTGGTGTCTGCACTCATTTGGGTTGCATTCCTTTGCCAAATGCTGGAGACTATGGTGGATGGTTTTGTCCTTGCCATGGTTCTCACTATGACATATCTGGTAGAATTCGGAAGGGTCCTGCTCCTTATAATCTTGAGGTACCAACTTACTCTTTCTTGGAAGAGAACAAATTGCTAATTGGTTGAGGAGTGAGATGGTGAAAGCCACTTAAGCCACAGGGATGATGGTGATATCTAGAATTCTTTTTTGGTTTTCCTTTAGCTATAAAACTTGGATATCAGAATATTCTGAGACATTTCCAGATAAATTTATTTTGCTATAAGCATGCCAAAAAATGCTTGGTGTAATTTTGAGTTTGTAACTTTAACTGGTTGAGTTGATGTTGTCATTATTAAGAAATAATCTGCTGGGCAACTTGCTTAGTATAAATTTTTGTTGGTAGTTTCAACATCTTGCATACAATACATTCAACTCGTGATGTTATATTCATCACTGTTGAGCAAAATTTGATTGTAAAGATTTGAACTTTAGATGCATGTGGCTCTGTAGATTTCTAGAAGTATTTACATATCTGCAAACTCTATTTGCCTTACAAAATGCTCTCAAGACAGATCAAGGGAGTGAGATTTGTTGATCAAATATAACATTTTACTAGTATAGTATTTATTAGTAGCCGGAAAAAGGATCTGCGCCTCTGTGGAGGGTTCTGCTTGATTTGGTGTGACTATCTTTCCAAAATGCCCTTGACATAGACCATCCCTTTTTCATTCAGCTGTAGCTCCTTCCTCATTTGCTCTACTTGCTGATCATCTCCTTGAACTATGACGTCGGACAGTGTCCCATCCTCTCCTACGACCATTTTGATCTTGATCTGTTCCTTTCTTGCTGCACGTTGCCAGTAATATATTCCACTGTATAGGCAAGAAATTACAAGTCCATTAATGCACTAGATCAGAACCATATGCTTCATTGAAATTTCAGGATTTGGCATTTTGGTGCCATTGAGGCATTTGAGGGAGAAGCTGATGGTTGTAGTTAAAAATTGCACCCTGCTCACTTCAACAAATTCAGGATTTCCCTTTCAAAATAACTCTCTTATGGCCTATCAAGTTAGGAACATCCAAAATGCCACTATGTGACCGTGTTTATTCCTCCCTTTGTCTCACTATGATTGTTCTATATTCCTATCTTAGACGTATGATTGACTCATTGTGTTTGCCACAATTATTTATCTCCCCAAAAACCCCAAATAACTCTCGCATATAGATCTGGATGGATGAGTTTATGTAATTAGTAATCACTATGATAAATGTATCATGCTAGGCCAAACTTTGATTGGTCATCGAACGACATTTACTTCGTATTTACAATGTTAAGAGTTTGAAGACTTACGCCAAAGGACTAAGGGCAGTGATAAAAAACCAATTGTTGCCCACATCCGGAAACGTAATCGTCAGCACTAGAGCTACACTTGCTAGGCTTATGCAAGTGCAGAATGTCAGCAATGCTGCTTGCCCCCTACTCGGTACCATCATCCCTTCAAAACTGCACATGCACACCCAAGCCAATACTTTCGTTATTAATTAAGAAAGAAAACTAGCCCTTAATACATCCGTTCGAAAATAGTAGTCACATTATTATTACTAGTTTAAATTATATTAACGACGTGCTATTAACCCGAACAAAGGAGCACAAATAATTAAACAATGCTGGAAATGTGGGAAAGTGTAGTCCACGAAAATAGAAGCAACTTACGTAATAGTCTCTCCTCTATCGGTCACCGCAAAATTGTTACGAGTAAAGTAGGATAAGATTTCTCCTGCAACCTGATTTGGTGCCTTTTTATTCTCATCCGCTTGTACATAAGCCTTTTTTACAATCTATAATTTCAACACCAAAATTTATTAATTAGCCATATGAAATGAAAAACAAAAAAAAAAATCAATTACTAGAGTAAAAAGTCAATAGAACCAATGGCGAACTTAGAAATCCGAGAGCCACAAAGAGCAGTGATGTGTATACGGATAATGGGTACTGGCCTTTTAAAAGTTAATCGACTAAGCTACTTGGCATCTACTCGATTATGAGAATTGAAGCTAGAATAATACCTTAGATTTAACAGAGCGTTTGATGAGAGACCAAAGACCAGGAACAGAGATAACAAAGAGACCCAGTGAAGTATAATAGCTAGCAACAGAATACCCAACACCTTCTGCTATTAGAAACAAAGAAGATGGATTTTCATGAAAATGATTGGCTAAATCTGATGCTATTTCAATTTCTTGGAGGGAGGCAGAAACTGAAATCTTTACTGCCCTTTTCGGCTTCGAAATGGCTGGAAACTGTTGTTGGGTATGATAGGAGAGAGAAAATTCTCTGGTTTTGTAGTATTTGGAGATTGAAGAGCAAGATGATAGTGGATGAGAAGGAGAGAAGAGGTTGGCTGCCATTTTTGTCAATAGGATTGTGAGGGGATAAGACAATGAACAATGTGAAATGCTACAATGGAAGAACTTGGAATGGTGAAGCTTTTGGTGTTAGAAATTGGTTGAGTTGATTTGTTTAAAAGATGAGCACCACAAGCTTTGAATCATGGCCATTGAATTGGTATACATTGATATATGTTAAAATCTAGACCATATACTAGTTCTAGGTAACAAATGACGAAAGGTTACTTTCTTCGTTCCTTAATTAAAAAAAAAATTAAAAAAAATAAGTTCACATACTACATTCGTTAAATGTATTGTGTAATTTTTTGTCAAAAACGGACGTTAAACATTATGTGTAACTTTTCCAAATCTTTCCATTTTTAGTAAAAAAAAATTGAATAAAATTACAAAATACCCTTACTTCAAATTTTTTAACCTCAATCAATAATTAACTATATACTAAAGGCGAAACCTAAAATGACCTTCCTGGTTAAAAAATTTCCTGCCTTATTTTTTTCTTTCCTTTTTATTTATTTATTTATTTATTTATTTATTTTGTCATATATTAATGACATTCATTTTATAACATACAATAATAGCTATTTTCATTTTGACAACATATTTAATCCAATTATACTCATTTTTTTTTACATATATTTTATATACTAGGAAATTTTTAGTTACAAAAAAACTAATATAGATTGAAAATAAGGTAATTGTTATGAAATATTGTGTGGATATCCATTATCCTCCTTTTATCATTCCGGAATATTCTATATCTAGGGTTTATTGTTAAACGCAAACCCTAATTATATTGTACGTATATATACCCTATCATATGGAATAAAGATACACACATTAATTCTCTCTCAAACTTTCATGTTTCTCCCTATTTCACAACATGTTATCAGCACCAAACTCTACCCGATTGAATTAGGTTAAGATTGAATTAGGTTAATCTACTATGAGAATCAGAGTCAAACCGTAACTCTACGCAATTAATCCAATTGTAATTAAAGGTACGCATATACTATACAATTGTAATTAAAGGTACGCATATCCAATTGTAATTATGTTATAATTGATTTATAAACAATTAGCATGAATATTTTGAATAATCATTACCCCCAACAATTCATACTAGACTAAACAAGTACAGTACAACTACAACTACAAGTCTGTTATTTTTGTGCCCTACGGACTGTTGTAATTATATATTGCTTTGTTAACTTTGAATCAATGCCATCGATGCTCTTATCATGATGGGAATTGTTTTGCGGTGAAATTTTACGTGTAGCGGCTTACGTGCAGCGATTTCTCGTTTTATATACAAATGAGGTATATGTTTCACATATAGTCTTGGAACTCACTTGATGGCTCTTTGATAATTACCTTACATGCATGATAAATCATACTTTTTACTATGTATTTGGTTTGTTTTATCAATTATTTATGTATGATATCACATATTGATATTATGTGAGCATTACTTTAAATTATCTAATTGAAATATAATGATAAACAAAATATGTCATAAAATTATGTCTTTAGATCTAATTTTTTTTTTTAGTAACTTGACATCTGTTATACATGATGGTTGCAATAATGCATGTATCGTTATATATACATTTCTGTTAATTTCTCTTACGAGTGAGATTGCTAATATATGCATGATGTCATATTTTTAATATAATTGACTATGTGGATTTTTTTCTAGTTGACCTCAAATTAAATTATGATAATACGAGTATACAACCCCTTTGACTTTACATGCAATGTTGAGTATTACTTTAAAAACAAACTTGAGGACAAATCCATTATTTTGTTAATCATATCAAAAAGGATTTGATTGATGAATTACAGTTTGTGATGATAGTAATGATTATGATATGATATACATATGATTTCTATGAAATGGTAAAGGAAGTAGTGTAATATTATTAACTCGCAAGCTAATACCTATAAATGTATACTCCGTTTCAATTTTAGGACTTGAATTCCAAGTTTTTGGTCTTTAACACTTAGAAATATTAATTTGTGTATGATTGAATTTATTTATATACCTATATACATGAAGTTGGATTATAGGAATGATAAATAAATTGAGCATGAAATACTTACACATATATATGGAGCTAAATTTCCTTAAATTTATAAAGGTTTAAAAACCCTAAAAAATGATATAAAGATATGTATATGACCTAGAAATTTCTATTAGTTTCTAATAAAGTATATTGCTTAATAGCATCCGCGATATTAATGCAATTCTATAGACACAATTCCATGTGAAAAAATATACAAAAGGTTTTGAATGTATTCTAGATATTGAACTCTAAGTGAGTATTGAGATACATAAATTACTAGATTTACTCACTCCATAAGTGAATGAGAGTTCATGTGATTGAAAGAAAGCATGTTTGCATGATGTTTTCGTGATTACAATTCATTGAAAAGCTCATTTAGAATTGCAAACATGATTACATATCAACTATTGGACCAAGAAATAATGTTTATGAGTTTATAAAATGCAAACATAACATTGAGAGAAACTTTACATGATCAACGTTTTATTATGCCCATAAATATAAGAGGTTTCGTTTTTTTAAGATGAATGTGATTGGGCAAGAGGAACATGATTAAGTGTTCTATAAGTATAATTTTATCTAAGCATGTTTTTGCTAAAAGGAACACGTTACTTGATACATGACATTGCCAATAGAATTTATGGCTTAAAAGGTGTAGGGATTTTAAAGGTTGTTGGATTGATTCCATGCATACCCTCATATGTAAGGATTAGGGGGAGATTGTAAGTAATCCTTACACATAAATAATAAAATATATTGATGGTTAGTTTGATACATACATTAACTTAAATATCAACGATTTATCTAATAGAAGTGGCCACATGTTAATTATTTATTTTGAAATGATACCATCCTAAAGATGGAGATAAATAAATGTCATTGATCATATACTAGTTGTAAATGCTCCAATGAAAATTGATGCCCAAGGACAATATCAATTGCTAATGAACCTATAGCACGCCTGAAGCGTGATAGATCAATAGGTTCTAAAGATAATTAAGTATCTTTGAAAAGGAAAGAAGTCACTATCGACAATGACAAATTTGAGGAAGTGATAAATCCCGTTACATTTCTAGAAGAAATCATTTTTAGTAAAATTCATATGTTCCATGATTATATAAAAGACTCCAGAAGAGTATGAAATGTCCAACAAGATTAACATGTTTCAAGATTATAGTCAAAACTCTAACAGAGTATGAGTAATTATTGGATAAAATATTAGTTGATTGTCTTGCCAATTGTATAAAGAAACGCATGTTGGTGTTCTAATATCACATCATATTCATGGCCATGCATAAAGTAAGTTTAATAAAGTAATCACTAGTCTTGAAAAATTGAACAGAGTTCAAATTTAGAGAAGTGACTAGATGTGATAATTAATTAAATTAGGCCATCCGGGTTTAATAATTACCCGTCATGGAAACTTGAACTTTCACTTGATATGAAAGTAATAATGTGTTGACGCTCTCTCATGTTAGATGCATGAAATGAATCGAATGGCAAGACATAACATTGAGATTGAGCTATTATTGAATAGTGATTTGTAATAATTTGTATTGATGAAAATGTCAAGAGTTAATAGGTTTTGATTTTTTTTTTTCACGAAAGAGTAATGGGTGACCAGAAGTTCACCAGAATAACAAATATGTTATTGTCAACTATTAGGTGACCAGAATCTCACCAAATACACTATTTAAATCTTTAAAGATCTCGAAGATCACTACCTAGTAGAATTCTAAGCAAGTGATTTATGCTTGTATAAGAATTCTTTTGATTGGGGCTATTATATGTCAGCACATAAGAAATTGGAAAAGAAGGAAAAACGTATAGCTGCACAACACATGTCTCCCCATTGACATTGATTTCCAGAAGAGAACATATTAGAAAGTGTAACAATAAATACACATGCAATGTAAAGTTAATGAAGAAATGATTCTTCATTGAAATTGTTCTCTAGAAGAAATAAAATTTGTTTAATACAAATCTTTTGAGATAATTATTTTGATTGTGATCCTCCCGATGAAAGGAATTTTAATGTAAATTTGTATACTAAGTTGGTATAGAATTAGACGTCCCTATAAATGAGATATTTTACCAACTTATGGGGAGAAGGATTAGCAAAAGTTGGAAAAATCGGAAAATATATAATTGATGATCCCTATAAAGGTAGTTTAAAAAGTCATATGCCAACTTTTGTCTATATATTATCAAGATATGTTGTACATTTATGATTTGATTTGTATTTAGTTATGACTCATGTTGCATAGCGTTGAAGATACATTTTGGTCATATTATGTGTATACAATGAGATAAAATCTTGCCAATTATACTTGAATTATTACATTTGAAGTGTAGATTGTAAGATCGGTTCCAATATATGTGATATATGGCAAGATAGTGCAGTTGATATTAATACCATAATGTATGAAATACCACAAATAGAAGTGGTATATAGAGATATCTAATAACTATAATAGATGGCCTATGATATGAAAAAAAGGTTATAATGGTACCAATTGGAGATGTATTCAGATATCATAGTAAATTAGCATGCGAAATTGTATCTTATTGAATTTTATAATACCGGTATACTATAGAACCGATAAATAATATGCATATGCATGATAGAATGGACTAGTGAATAAGGGATCTGAAAAATATGTCCATTTTGATGTCGACATAATGATAATGATTATAAGTTTATCATGGACCAGAAGTCCAATAAAATATGGATTTTTAAATCCACACTGTACAGTGTCTTGTAGTATTTTGAGTCCTATGTTTCTTCATATGCATGTGTGAGTCATAGGTTAATGGATTATTCATTGCATATGTCAGAAGTTGTTAGATGCATTACTCATTGTATATTTTGAATAATATGTTATCATGTTTTCTATATCTCATATTGCATGCATTACTTTTTATACAATAATTGTGGTGTATGTGAATGTTCATTCAAAGTATAGTAAGACATATTTACAACTTTGATGGAAAATTAAAAGGAGATATTTATATTCCAATGGACTTATAATTGTAATGAAATTATTGATGACGCCAATTTAATTGCATATTATGAATCATGTAAGAAGAATTCTTGAAGAACTTATATACGACGTATTTAAATATCCAGTCCTACAAAGTTTATATTTTGAATATTGCAATTATCATCAAACTCTTGAAAAGTTTATGTGACTACATCATTGATATCTCAACCTGAAGTTTGAGCATATGAAAGTTAGTGAGATTTGCTTTTTGTATTTGCAAAAGAGCTGTCATGTCAATTATGAAACGTCTAAAGAATATCAATGGAATACTTATGCGTGAGAATGTTTTCTTATGGTCTGGAAGAACCATGATTAGCGTATATAATTACAT